ATTTGGCCTAATAAAGACTTCTTCATGTTATAAAAAACGAAGTTTCATATAAATTAAAAAAATGTATGAAAAGAAAAAGAAAAAATTTATAATTTGTATCAACATGATACAAAATAGTGAAATTGGAATTACATAGTTTTTTTTTTTCCCTTATTGGTGAAATATGTTATAGAAAATAAACTTCCGATTAAATTTCTATAAATTTTGAAAGAAGGGAGTGTCTTTGACATGTGCTCAATTTAAGAAGGCAACCCTCTTTCTTTTGGCACTAAGATATACCTTGATTTAACATGAGTCGGATCTTTTAGGTTAAATACTATGATTAAATGAGTTTTTATAAAATAGAGCTCAAACATGATTAAATTCATGTTAAATACACTATTAAGTATACTAAAGCCAGTTTTCAAAAATTATGGTGATGTTTTCCGTAAAACAAGGAAAACATTTTATTTTCTAGAAAACGTTTTCCATGCCTATCAAAGTAAATATTTCTTTTCACTTACTATTAAAAAAAGAAATATACAAATTTAGAGTTTTCAGACCAACGTGTCTATAGAAAAAAATTCCCATAAATGAGTAACAAATTTTCTGCTTTGGGCTCTTGCTTCGTGTTGGGCAGTGTCCACCAACTATTATACATTGTCACTTTTGTCCCCAAACCATTTCACAACATCAATTTAGGCCAGAAAATATTGGATAGCACCATTTTGGTCATTCAAGTACTCCTTAGCTTCAATTTGATCCTCCAACATCATTTTGGTGCTTCAATTATTCATATGCATCAAAGCTTATATGAAAAAAAGGTTATATCTCAGTCAGAGTCTATGGAAAAAGGTTATATCTCTGGAAAGCAACAACATATCTCTGATTACTTGGACTACAGCAGGCTATCTACTGCACAAAGAACATATGCATTGGCTTTATCCACTGTATGAACCTCAATCTTATGTTGAGGTTTCCAAACATCCAGATTGGTGCAAGGCTATGGACACTGAGTATCAGGCTCTTGTTTCAAATGAATTTTTTCCTATTGATCATTTACCTGCACATAAAACACCTATAGCTTGCAAATGGATTTTCAAAGTCAAACTTGAATCTGATGGCACAGAGGAAAGGAAAAAGGCAAGTCTAGTTGCCACAGGTTTCACTCAACAGACTGGTTTAGACTATGAGGAAACTTTCTCTCCTATTGCAAAACTGCCTACAATTAAAACCCTCCTGGTTGTTGCTGCTCATAAGCAATGACATCTTCATCAGTTAGATATCAATAATGCTTTTCTCCATGGTGAACTAGATGAAGAGGTGTATGTGCAAATGCCCCCAGGTTATGAACAGCAGGGGGAGAATGGAGAGCAGCTCGTTTGCAAATTAAACAAGTCTATCTATAAACTTAAACAAGTTTCAAGGCAATGGAACACTAAGCTGACTTCATACATTCTTTCACAAGATTTTAAGCAATCAAGGTCTGATTATTCTTTATTCAGCAAGCAAGATGATTGTTCCTTTACTATTCTTCTCATTTATGTAGATGATATCGTCATAGGGGAAAATGACCTATCATACATTGAATAGTTCAAAAAGGAACCGAATGATCAGTTTAGATTGAAAGACTTGGGGATTCTGAAATATTTCCTTGTCCTTGAGGTGGCAAGAAATTCAAATGGAATTTCAATATGTCAGAGGAAGTATGCATTAGAGATACTATTTGATGTTGGTTATCTTGGAGCAAAGCCACCAAACGGTCTTTTACCTCATAACTTGAAGCTAAGTAAGGATGAAGGGGAACTAGTTATGGATGTAAGTGAATACCAGAGGTTAGTGGGAAGAATTTTGTATTTGACAATAACCAGGCCTAATCTCTCCTATGCAGTGCAAGTACTTAGTCAGTATCTTCAATCACTAAAAAGACCTCATCTGGAAGCTGCTCATCACGTGCTAAGATACTTGAAAGGTACACACCTGCTCAAGGTTTGTTCTTTGAGAGCAAATCTGATTTACATCTCAAAGGTTTCTGTGATGCGGATTGGGCAGCTTGTTCAGATACGAAAAGGTCTATCACTGGTTACTGCAATTTTTTTGGGAAATTCGTTAATATCTTGAAAATCTAAGAAGCAACACACATTCTCAAGATTTTCAGCTGAAACAGAGTATCGACCTATAGCAGCTACAGTTTGTGAATTGAGTTGGTTAAAGAATATACTCAATGATTTAGGTGTCAAACACAACATGGCAACGTTATTATTCTATCATAATCAATCAGCCGTTCATATAACTAGTAACGAAATATATAGAAATTGATTTTCATCTTGTAAAGATAAGGCGCAAGCAGGAAAAGTGAAAATATTACATATGGCGTCACAAGAACAAGTGACAGATTTGTTGACAAAGATTTTAGGGGGAGCCAAATTCAAATACTTGTTAAACAAGATGGAAGTATTAAACATATATTTCCCATCTTAAGGGAGAGTTTTAAACCACATCAGCATAGGGTTATTTAAGTCATTGTATTAATTCTGTTAGGATAGTTAAACGGCATTGATTTGTGTATGTATATATATGTACTAAGAGCACTTCATTGATTTTCATGTGAAAGAATAACAAAATTTTCCGCCACGTTTCTCTTCTTTCATTCTAGAATTTTCTCTTCATAATTCAACAGTCCTCAAACTATTCCAATTATCTATGATCGCAACTTTTGTCCTTTAAATATTCCAACTATTAGTCACGGAGACTTTGGTTCTCGAACTGATGACAACATCAAACTTTCCATCCAATTATAAGTGAACGCTACTTTAGTCCTCAAACTATTCATTTGCAGCACTTTTGTCCTTCAACTATATGTGTTCATCACTTTTGTCCTCCAACTACAAATAATTTGAGAGCAAATCTAATGCCAATAATAAAGAAGCAAGAAAGAAACAAAATGTTTGTTTTGAGCGAGTTTGGTCCCCAATTCCATCTGAAAAGCTATAGAAAAAGGATTTAAAAAAAGAGAGAATTAATTTTGTTTTCGTTTACATTGTTAAATCTAGAAGTAGCAAGACGAAAAAACTGAAGTACAATTTCATCTTCTTTTGAATCCCATCATTTTGACCGATCAAATTCTAAATCAATTCAATTTAACCAAAACCCAATAAATTTTGTACAAGCTAAATATATTTTATCAGTCGGAATAAATTCCATCCAGGGACGGATTTAGGGGCCACCAGCCCATTTAATTTTTTTAGTAGAAAAAGAAAAAAAAATTATGTTAAAAAAAAAATTCTTGTGTATTTTTTTTTACATATTAGCTCGGTTTGTAATCCGATCCTGGATCCGTCCCTAATTCCATCCTCGCCTTTCATCAAAGAAACATTTACTAATTCTTCAAAAATGTTTATAGGTTTGACCTTTTTATTTCATGAGTTCATTAAAATTATGTTAGAAAATAAGGTTGAAAACGGCAAAACAGTAATTAAATATGTTTATAATTTCCCAAAATCTAATTTTTATTGACAATTTGAAAATTTTGACTTCTAATCAAAGAGAAACGATCAAGTTGAACCCAACTGAGATTTTGATAAATTTTAAAAGTTCTTCCAAATTCAAGTGTCCCCAATTGAGATTTTAGTGGATTTTAATGAGGATTTCATTAATATAGTGATTTTAAATATTTGAATTGATTTCAAATTTAAGATACATATAACAAACTTTTTTGAAATTACACAATTTTTGAAGAGATTCTTATGAATTTTGTAAAAATTTTATTCAAATTCAAGGAATTCTTTAGAATTTATAATTTTTTTAAAATCCATCAAAATCTAAACATTCCCTGCTTGCTTCAATTTTATTTTAGATTACATGAAAGGTTTGTACTAATAATTAGTGATTAATTAAAGCAAAATTATGATTAAGTACCCTCCAACCTACCACGTTTTCAAAATTTGCAAAAAAGTATTACGGGATAATTAACAAAACTTTGTTACATTTTATATTACCGCAATAATTTTTCCTATATATATTATACTAACAATGCCCCAAACTCCTCGCTGCCTCGCATAGTCGCATGTGATTTGGGGTGTGTGTGTGTTTCACACCTTTTCTTTGCAAAGAAAAAGAAAAAAGACCCTTTCTCTAGCTATTGTCCATTCAACTCATTTTTATGTAGTCTTTCCAAGATTCAGAACACTATACATTTTGAGAATTCTATCGATTACTCAAGTTGACTTGCAATTTTCGAAGGAATTTTCAGCCGAACATTCTCTTAGTCCTATTATATTGCTGCAGTGTTTTTTGGTCCGTTGCCTTGCAGATTTGTTCGAAAGAGTCAAAGAGTGATGTCCCATATCTTTTCGGATGAAAATATGGTAACCCTTCACATTTGAGCACATATTTTTTGCCATTTGGACTTCAAATCTTGTGTTTGTGGACACTTGAATTGGAAAATCTGGGTATTGCTGTTATGGGTTCTTTGTGATTTGATTTCGTGGTATTGGGAAGTTTCCATTAGCTTGAAGGAAGAATCTTGCTTTCTAAATATAGATACAATCAGTGAATTAAGCTCGAGAAAAGATTACTTTTTCAGTTGGATTTTTTTGAATGTTATTTCTGAGAATGCATCTCTTAGAAGGAAAGTAGAGATTTTTATATTTTTGTATTAGATGGTTACATGTGGGAGTGACTAGTGATGAGATGAATGGGCAATTTGATCCCGAAAGGGTTAAGTTAGCCTTTTTCCTTTGAAAAGCGGCAATAAAGGAAAAAAATCCTCTACTTTGAGATAGTACCAACCAAGACACAAAAAATTATTTGGTTGTGGTTTTCATATTGGTTTAGCATTGCACTAGAGATAATTTACTTGGTCGAATGAGTACTAATTTGTCGCGGTATAGTTAGATTGATGCATCTAAGTTTTAGGAGATAAATTACCCGAGAAAGCAAATCTTTTGATTGCAATTGTATTTGTGATCTTGAAAAGAAGACAGAATTTTAGAAATTTTGGAATTTTTTGAGTCATTCTGATGGCATCAATTCGAAGGACATTGTCTCCGGTGCCTCGATCTGGAAGCTTAATGAATGGGGAAGCATGTCAAGTTGCATCTCCTCTTTCTAAGTCGTCTTCGAACAGTCTGAACCCTCCACCACATAGTAGTGTCTTGGCTTCGTCAGTTGGTTCACTCGACTATGCATTGTACAAAGTGCAAAATTTTATACTCGGCCTTTTATCACAACGATCTTCTCGGTCCTCAGATAGGTTGAGGGTAAAGGGACAAGTTTGGCGGAGAGTTCTTTTCCATTTCTTTATATGTTTTGTCGTTGGGGTTTTTGTTGGATTCACCCCTTTTGTTTCACTGAATTTGTCCATGAACATCGTTTCTAAACACCAAGATTTCTACTTTGAGGTGGTCCAACCAGTTCCCAACAGCCAGTTTCATGGCAGGAAAAGAAATGAAAAATCGGTACTTGGCAGATTGTCCGTAAATGAAAATGCTACATTAGATCCTCGTGGGATGAACAGCGAACCAAAAGACGACTTTGTTTCCAATCGTTCTTCGAGTTCTGTCAATCAAGGTTCAGATCCGGTGTTCCATGAACTTGTGATCATTGTGACACCTACACATGCTCGACCCCTTCAAGCGTATTATCTCAATCGTTTAGCCCACACATTAAAATTGGTTCCACATCCTTTCCTGTGGATCGTCGTGGAAATGAACTCGCAATCTGTGGAAACGGCTGACTTGTTGAGGAAAACCGGGGTCATGTACAGGCATCTATTCTGCAGTAAGAACTCAACTGACATGAAAGACAGAAGAGTGCACCTGCGGAATGTGGCTCTTTCCCACATTGAAACACACCATCTTGAGGGAATCGTGTACTTTGCAGATGATGATAACATATATTCTGCCGATCTCTTTCACCAAATGAGGCAGATCAGGTACTTTTTCTATCAACCAGTAATTGTATTGCTTTGAACAGAATAAACTTGGAATTTTGTTTCTTTTTCTTATGTTCTGTAAATGTAAGTGACCCGACCAAGTATGGCGAGGTATGTAGAGCTCAAGATACATTAATATTACCATGAGGAAAAAATAAAACTTCCTATTTGCTGCACTATGTATGAGAAAAAAAAAAACTAGCTTGATTCCTAATAATTTAGAAGGACTAAAATACTCGTACTTAAGTAACACAGAACTTAGATGAAACTGTGGAACACCCTTTGAGAAGAATTGGGGTTCCATCTTAAAAAGTTAACCTTATTAAGAGGAGTCGTCAAATCCTTTATAATTTGGTCTATGTTTACATCTTTATTGGATGTGGGATTATATCCCTTAACACCCTTTAAAAAACAAAGCAACTAATTCCAAGCAAAATGCTAAAGGAAATAACATGATTCTGCATAAACAGTACTAACTCTAAGCACTGGTATATGGTTAAAATTAATTGTGAAGGTGAAATAAGCAGATCATTTATCAAGTTTCAAAAGCTTGTTTTTGTTCGTGTCGGATAAATTTAAGTGAACATAGTGGAATTATGATCACACTTGCTCGGAAAGTTAATACTACTTGTGAACATATTGGGTACGCTTGATAAGCATTCAGAATTGGTTTGGAAATTATGAATAAGAAAAAGAAGTTAATAAATAGTTTATTGTACAGTGTAGCAAGCACGTTCCTAACATAGCCGAGGTGTGCCTTGCGTTTTCAAAGGTGATTAATGTTATTTAACATAGAGCAATTGTTATGATGCGAGATCTTAACAGACTGAAAACTTAATTCTTTGGCTTCAGACTACATAGATTGGTTTAGATGTAGTAGAGTAGAATGCTGGCAGAGTGGTTTTTAGAAGTTCACTTGAATTTCGTGAATTTGAATAGATTTCTATAAAATCCATAAGAGTCTCATTAAAATTGGTGACATTTCAAAATAGTTTGTTATATGTATTTTTAAGTTTGAAATTCATCCAAATTGTTTAAAATCCCTCTATTAATGAAATTTTTATAAATCCATGAGCTAGAATATCTAGATTTAAAGGATTTGTTTGAAATTAATTAAAATCTCAGTTGGGAACACCTTGATTTTAATGGATTTCATTTAAATCCATAAAAATCTCAATTGGGATCACTTGAATTTAGAGAGACATCTTTATATACCCTATTTGATTTGGATTAAAATCCAATTAAAATTTCAAGCCAAAATCAACAATTAATTTTAACCGCATATTTTATGGGATCCACAATTTTTCAACTACACATTTCATCAATTTTTATCAAAATCTACTAAAAATCAAATTATAATCTACATCAAACAAATATCTTTTAGGAGCTGAAACTTCTAGTCCTAAATACCATACTTTTAATACATAATTCTCAATCTATTCCAAGTTAAATTTTATTACAATTTTTATTAGTTATTACAGCTAATTATGTTATCAAGTCAATGTGGAATTTTAACCAAATTTTGTTTGGTGTTCTTGTTATGTGAATCAAGGAGGAACCAAGACTAGAGTCCAATTAATATGAACTTAGAGCTTCCTTAAGCATACAATGTATAGTGCTAAAGTAAACCACAAACTACGAACCAGATATGTGATGCATTTGCTATTGCATAAGCACTATATATGCAAAAAATTTAAGGAATTGGTCTTTTAGTTTACTTTTAAAAATTTCTTTTAAAAAATATTAATTAAATAATTAAAATTAAAACCAAAGGCAAGCAAAGAGTTAGGTTCATGTTACCTTTTTAGTGTTGATAATACAGGAAATGCTCTGTCTTGTGATTTCTTAGTCTTTCAAAGTTGATATGTGGTTAAAATGTGCCACATACAAGTTAAAACAATATGTAGTCAGTTCAGTTTCTACCTTTCTGTCCCTTCCTTTTATGTTGTGGCGTTGCCTTACAACCAAATAATGGAAACCCCTTTCCTTCCTCATTTTCCATCTTAACTTTTCTTTTCACTCTCTTTTTCTCTTTGTACATCATTTGACATATTAAATTATTATTTTTCCCATTAAATATGATATTCACATGCTTTTGGTAGCTCAACCCTTCTGGATGATTAGTCTTACCTTTTCTTGCGGTTAAGCCTCTATGAGTGGCTTTAGATGTCATTAAGAAAATGATGAACACTTCACTTATGGAAGCTTCTGATTGTCATGATCTCGACCTATGTGTCCTTTGTTTTGATTGATACATGTTCAAAATTCAGGCGGTTTGGGACATGGACAGTGGCGAAGTTGATGGAAAGCAGAAACGACATTATCTTGGAGGGTCCAATCTGTAATGGCTCTCAAGTAATAGGATGGCACATAGATGACATAACAAATAGATTTCGAAGATTTCATGCTGAGATGTCGGGTTTTGCCTTTAATAGTACTGTTATTTGGGATCCAAAGAGATGGCACCGACCTACCCTTGAACGAATCAGGCAGCTTGATGCAGTCAGAGAAGGTTTCCAAGTGAGTGTCTCTGTAACAATAATGAATTCAATGTCAATATTGTAGATCACTCTATAAGCCTTCGATCTGCAACAATTTAAATTCCTACTTGATTTTTTAAATTTTAACCTAATTACGTCTTACATGCCTTATAATGTGACTGGTGTGCTTAAAGTAGTTGGACCTGGTGCATGTTTATCTTAAAAAAATCACTTGTAAGTAAATAAGAAAGTTTTAAATAAATTTTTTTCATTGGTTAAAGTTTGAAATAACTAAGTTACTCATTTCAACAATAAAGTAAGAGTCCTAATAAGTAATTTTTTTTAACTTAAAAGTTAATAAAGCAAATTATCAAACATGTTTGGAAGCAAAAATTTGCTACTTATACTTAGCGAAACATGCTCCAGGTGTCTTATCTTACTCAAAGGTGGACGATTGATTAAAAAAGGAGAATCGTTGTAAAAATTGAAGAACAAAGAGTACGTGAGAGAATGAAGGATGATGTTTTATTTATATTCATATCTTGTACTGACATTATATACTTGCATTGTAGGCAAGTGCATTTATAGAGCAAATTGTGGAGGATGAAAGTCAAATGGAATGCTTACCTCATGAATCATCAGAAATTATGGTTTGGCACCATAGCATGGACTCACATTCGTACACAGCGCTGGTATGTATACACTAGTTTGCATTATCCCTTCTTTTTCTCGGCATAAAATGTTTTTATCGATATCAGAACTTCTCTTATATGGTATATGGTGTATTTGGCTATTTGCATGTAACATCACATGTAACTCTTTCTCGAAATTCCATATATGCATGTACACATGCATTGCATCATGTGAATGTTCTAAAGAATGAAAACGGACTCATCCTTAAGTTCTGGTATGGATATGTTGCATCTAAGCACTCATCTTCTTGATTTCTGGGGCAATAAGAAAAGGCAATCTTTTTTAAATTCATTGAATACATATGTTACTTCATTCTTGGGATTTAACATTCCTTTATTAAACTGCAGAAAAGTTTGGTCAGGAAGTAAAAGGCATCTGATCCTTGCTAGAAATGCTTGTGTTTATTGATGATAGTGGTACAGTCCAAACAATAGAAGCCAAACTATAGAAGTCGAAGAATGGATATGTTCAGGCAATACCTCTTTCCGTAAGGTTGATTGTTATTTCTGTATAGTTACTGAATTTAACTTTTTCCTGGATTGGCTGCCATTCATCGAAGAGCAATTTTGTGGCCATCTAGATAGGGGTGCGGATGGGGGCAAAATCATACCGTTGGAGCGAATATATTTATCTTTGAGTGAATCTTTTGAATTCTTCTGTTTTTACATGAACCTGAGGCTCTTGTCTTCTCTGATACCAATTTGTATATCTTGCTGATTTACCGTTATCCTGATCAATCCAAGTGCTTTGTTAGGTGGACGTTTTATTGTTTAAACTAGAGCTATATTTCTCTTCTCTCTGGACAAGATGAAAAAATGTCATATTGCTGTCTATATAGCTGTTTTTATTATTTCACCTCAAGGTTTAATTTGGATGAAAAATGATAAGCCCTCGTGATTTGTTTGGTAAGTTGGATTGCATCACAGGAGATGAGATAAAAAAATGAAAAAAATGTCAAGTATTGCCTATTGTGAATTACAGTGTTGTCATATCGGGACCCATAGGAGGACCATATGAGGCCACCTTAAAGGAGCCTGACCTGACCTGCTTTAGACGTTAAGGCCATACTGATGCAGTGGAAGAATTAACGAACAATGAACAAAGAATGTAGCTAAGTCGACTATCCATTGATTCAAATGAATTACGAAGAAGACCTATTGAACTCATACAACAACCGTTGATTCAGATAAGAAAACTGATTTGGATCGATCAATTGACAATCCTTGTGCATCACATACTATTATCCTAAAAAGAGGAAAAGGAAGAGATCATACTAGAGGAAAACTCACAATTACCATAATGTACCAACAGGACCTTGATTATATTTACATATTCCTCTCCCCAGGCACTCTGCTACTGTAACTATACTAATAACACCGTACACATAATCAATTCATACTTCTGTGGCTTATACAGTAGTGGTGGACTATATAGTATTGGATAGTGCTCGGGACGATGAAAAAGAAGTTAAAATCTTCTTCAGCGCAATGTCTAGCCCTGTCCAATACGACCTTAAGGTATAAGGAAAATGTTTATGAGACTATAATGTTGCCTGGTTGTTCCCTTTCTTCCTTACGAGGACCATAAGCCTTACTACACAAGAGAAAGTATATCAAGTTGGCCATGCTCAATCCAGCAAGAACCAAGTAGTAATAATCATAATGTCCCTTGTTAATATTGCTTGAAATCCAACTTTCATTTCCCCCTCTTTTTGTGATATCATCTATAGAACTTAGTATAAAACTCGCCAACAAGTTCGCCGCAGACATCCCGAGTCCATTTAGAGTCGAAGCTATACTCGACATACTTCTTGGAAGCTCCGAAAAGTAGAACTCATTCTGTGCAATTGCATTCAAAGCTTCTGCAAATCCACTCAAGCAGTATTGTGGCACTAACCACATTGCTGACAAATGTACAATAGCCTGTGGCTTTTCTTCATATCCTTCTCGAACTGCAAAACTACGTCTGATATTCTCTACGACTGCTGTCACCATCATAGCCATAAACGAGAGAAAAATCCCGGCTCCCATTCTATTCATAGTACTTATATAAATACGTTTTCTCATTATTCTCGATGCCATGGGAAGAAATATACGATCATAGAGAGCAATCCATAGAATGACGGATATGACAGTAAACATAACAAACGAGCCTGCGGGAATCTTGAAACCTGAACTGATGTTTCGATTCATGGAAGTGGCTTGGAGCACTGGGAAAGAGTTCTGGCAAATGTTTATAGACATTAACATTCCTGTAGACCATATAGGGATTACTCTGATTAGTGATTTTAGTTCTTCTATTTGATCTACTGTACAAAGACTCCATGAATCTGCAGAATTCCCATCTGGGGTTAAATCTTTTTCTGGATTTTTAACAATGCAAGCCTTATTCAGAAACCTGAGCGAATCACTTGGAAAAACCCGAGCTGAACCTTCCTTGCAATGATACACAACATCAGTGCAATTTGCAGATAATTTTAGATGTCGCTTTCTGTACGAGGCTGTAATGACTTGAATAAGCCCAACGACTAAGCTCGATTTACTCTTCAATTTCACATAGAATGAGGAAGCCAAAAAGAATGAAACAGCTGAGAAAAGCATAAGCACTGCAGGCACAGCGAAACCAACTTTCCATCCCATGTTGTCTTGAATATAGACAACACAAGTTACTGCTATTAGGACAGATAATGTATATGAAGCATAGTACCAGCTGAAATAGCTCTCCATCACAGACAAATTTTTTCGGCCATCTCGGGTTTCGAGTTGGTCGGCCCCAAAGGCTAGCGAAGAAGACCTGATTCCACCAGCTCCAATGGACATTAGTCCAAGAGAAGTACACAGAAAAAGGGTTTGGAAAATTGTTGGAGGGCTGCAAGTTTCACTAGATTCATCACATGGAGGTGGTCTTGTTTGAGGAAATATTGTTGTTGACCACAAAAGAGTCATCCCCTTCAGTGAAAATTGAATCAAAGAACATCATTTGAAGATAAAGATTCATTTCTTGGATCAACATAAAACTTAAGATTATTGCTTCTCTATTACTTATAATTCTAACTTAAAGGGTCATAACCGCTCACGTAAGGCCTTGTTATGCATTGCATTCTGTACTTCCCCTTTGACGTTTAGATCATCTAAGATCGTAATTTAAGAATAGATGCGAAATCGATAAAATGCAATGAGTGAAGGGAAACATTAATTTTCATCCACATTCTTTCAATAAAATAGTTTTGTACGTCGATCAATAACATTTTCCTACTTTTTAATCACATTCTTCAAAAGAATTACTTTTTCACAAAAAATTTCAGTACATCAAGCATATCCTAAAATTAAATAATTCTTGGCATATTCTTTTCAATTTAATCGTCATGACACTTGCATCAAACAAAGTAAGCCACAAAAAGTAAAAACTGCCCTTGAAAAATGCATTGGTGTTTCCAATAAATTTCGTTGGCTTCTGCACTACAGAAAACATCAAAAAAAAAAAAAAAAAAACAATTCAAAATCATACGTCGTTACCATGATGTCTTAATTTATTTTGAAATATCTTTTAACATTGATAATGACAAAAATAATTGAGTAATAGTGTTGACTAAAGAAACAGAAATGATCAAACAATTATGAAAAATGATTATAGTAAACTCTAGAAAATTTTAAAAACATGCTCGCGTTTGTTACACAATATTGAACAATATTAAAGAAGAAAAATTACCATGAGACAGACGATGGATCCGAATCCGATGGTACGAAACCGACCCAAAAAGGAATCTGAAATTATAGCCCCAAGAACAGGCATGAAATTTGTAGCTCCTGACCAGAAAAACATAATGTTGGATGCAGTGGTCATTTCCATATGATACTGTTTCATCAAATACAGTATCATGTTTGGCATTAGCCCGTAAGTAGCCATCTTTTCGAATGCTTCATTTGCTGTAAAATAAATAATGAAAAACTAACTTAAATTTTAATTAATTTTTTTAAAGAAACTGCAAGAAGAAAATCACAATCCAACCCAATTCATAATTTGAATAATCTGAGTACACAAAAATTATGTAATTATGAGAAAAATAGTTTGATAAGTCATATCAATTCCTAAATCTTTCTTTCGTGCTCAACAATAATCACAGAAGTATTTAAAAACGAGCAAAACACACAGTTTATAATAGTTCATCTTAAGAGCTAAGTTCACTCGACTACTTATGAATCTATGTCCATGATCAAGTACCCCAACCCACCCCACCCCACCCAAACATGTGTGTGTGTGTGAGAGAGATGTAAATACTTCACCTATGATGAAGGGGAGAGCTCTCAAGCCACCCTTTTGAGTGCTCTCCAAGAGAGGCTCTTCGATCATTATTTTCTTGTCATCCCAAGGATTCTCCATTGTTAACTTCTTTGCATAGATGCAAACTCAGTTGTCTCTCTACACAGACACTTTTTATATAAGATATCGGAGGAAGCCCCTGGTGGAGAAGACTAAAATTTAGAGGAAACTAGCCAAACAGCATGATTGTGACATATTCTTGTTGACCTGTTATTTTTAGGCCATTGGTTTTTTTTTTTTTTTCATGAAAAATGGAAAATATTTTTCCACTTTTGTTCTGTTTGACCGCACAAATTTTCCAAGGAAAATGTTTTCCCTCCCACCCCTCCGCGCGCCCATTTTTCACTTTTTGGCTAATGGACAATTTCCATGTAAAATAAAGCCAAACGAATAGAAAATTTAAAAAATTTTCGGGTGGAAAATTATACCAATCAAATACACTTGAAATCATTTTTCCTTCAGAACATTTTTTAGACAAATCTTTTCCCCGTAAAACATTTTTTTTCTACTAATTTTTCACCCTTACAATAAAATGCACCCTTACTGTTTTTTATGTTTCATAATTAAGAGATATTTTGTTGAAAAAACTTGAACGATGTGATTTTCTTTTTTTTTTAATGACTAGTGAGTAGTGACATATAAATAAGAAGAGACTAGTATTTATTTTTTATTTAAGTGTATGATTGCCGATTATTAACACTAAGCTATATATGATTTTCATTACTTCAAAACTCAATTTTTCTACCATTTTTCTATAACTCATTTTCAACCATATATTCTCACAGTAAAATATTTTGCTCATAAATTCAAATTCTTTCCAACTTTTTAATCACATTCTCCAAAGATTCACTGTTACAAAACTTATTTTGATGATGGGTATCAAATATGGGCTAAGTAAATTAAATTTTAAAGTGATTTTTTTATCAAAGTTAAAAATAAGTAAAAAATTTAATAATAAGCAAGAAATTAAATTAATTTATCTTAGTATGTTTTAAAAATTAAATAAGTATTAAACTTGGAAAACATGTTATAAATGCGACCATCTTTC